GAGCACATAACTTCAATTAGAGAAAAGAATTTCATCTTCTTAATGCTCACACTCAAAACATGCGCTCTCTCTCAAATATTTTCTCTTCTCTCTCACATCTTTGTTTCTTCTCTCAGATTTAATGCTTCTTGCACAGATATTTTCTCCTCTCGCTTGCCTCCTTCTCTTCGCGCACAAACCGCGCTCTGCTCGAGTCTCAGATACGCTCGCAAACCTGTAGGCACTGCTTGCGGATTTGTTTTGCTCTCTCTCAGACTGCAGTTGGATCGTTGCCTAGCAACCTTTCCAGTCAATAGAACGACAGCCTCGGAAAGGGTGCGCTTGTTTAAACCTACGGAGTGTGCCTGTGCTACTACGCCACTTATAAGAGCGTCAGCTGAAACTGCTATTTACAGTAGTTTTGTGGCCGATTGTTGTTTCAAAATAGAAAACCTGCTTTCATTTCTTAGTTATGCCCTGGATTTTGTAGCGTTTGTGGACGCTACATCGCTACTTGATCAAAACAATAACGTCACTACAGGAAAGTTACTTGATAAATAAAGCAGCGACGCTACGGACAGCTACTGGAAAATGTAGTTAAACTAATAGCTTCGCTACATGTAGCGGCGTTACTGCCCATCACTGTTAACAACTTATAGTAAAATACAGTGACACAGTCAGATACACACCAATCAACTTTATGGTGGCTGAAAACTGGATTGATAAACTAATATCTCTTTTTAATTTCCCCTTTTATTGATTAGAATATACCGTATTAGCAGCAGTGGAGTATTCTGCTCCTCTGGTTGGCCTTGGAGATGAAAATGCTTCTGAATTTGAAAGAGTAGCAAAAATGGGAAAAACTGTACTGGACTTAAGGGCTGGTTATCCTCCCACAGCAGTGTGTCGCAGTAAGCTTGTAGCAGATTTTTTTGATTTATGTGGGATCATCACAGACACCATAAATTCTTATTGGAAATCATATTTCCTGATTGTTCTGAACGGCAAACTGCAAGCAAGACAAGATTGGGGTGTTTTTGACTTCCAAAAAAGATCTTTCCTAAGTCCTTTCTATCATCTGTTAATATAAACTTGATTTGACTAAAATGTGCTATCAATGTCTACCTACGTTTACGTTTTTTTTTCAGGCCTGAAAAGATATTAGTTCCAGATCCCACAGCATACCTTTAGAGGTCTGGTAGAGTCCGCTGTAGTGCCTGTATGGCTCCTGCACTCGACATACCAAATGCATTTCTTATGATTATTATGGTCCCGCACAAATACAGTTATTAATTGGTTCCTTTGCCCAAAACCTATATCCTATAAAGCATTTTTTAAGCTTCACAATAAATCTCCGATGTTTAGATTCTTATTAAATCCAAATAAAAAACAGTACCTGTGAAACAAAAAAAAGCGGGTTTCAACTGCACAACACTTTCAAGTATAAATGAAAAGTTTAGAGCATTGAAAGTGAGTATTTTGGTAATGACCAGAAATCAAGGCAAGACAGACAGTGGGATAACTCGAGCGTTTATTTAAAAGCCGGATCTGCAGTGGTTGTGGTAAGGGCGTCTAAGGCAAGAACCTCTACAGGAGAGAAACACAGGTTAGTGACCACGGTAACGTGATGGAGGATGATAATGAATGCGTGATCACCAACCTGGTTTTATAGTTCACTCCATGCCCAGAAAACGAGGTAGTATCCAGCCAGTCGGCTAACAAGACGCAGCGGACACTGCCAGAGAGTTCCACACACTTAGCCTTGAAGGACACAGAGGTGACAGGAGATTGGATCCGAGGAGATGATGGAGGAAGGCAGGATAATCCAGAGGGCGAAGTCAAGAGGCAGATCCAGGTCAGTTCACAGTATAATCCAACAGAATCTGAAAACAGGTCAGGCAAACAGATCAGACAGAGGCAGGCAGGCTCAAAGGTCCGAATACAGAAACGGGTCAGGATCAGGCAATCAGCACATTAGTAGAAATGCTTCAAAACTCTCACACCAAAGGCTCAAGAATAATCTGGCACTGATGGCTGGGAATAAAGTGGCTTAAATAGCAGCAAGATCAGGTGATCAGTAATGTGAAATTGCACAGAGTTAGACAGGTGAATGGAATGATCAATTAAGCCATCCCTCAGGGCAAAGATCATGCCAATGTTTATACCTTTGCAGAGGTAAATAAGATTGGTGGTTAAAATAGTTTTCTTTTCTATTTTTATAAATGTATTTATTGGGGAAACAGATTAGTGATGTACATCAAAAAAATACCAAATTTCCATCATTACATTTTCTTGTTTTTCCATAAATAAGCCTACAAAGTCAAACCAAATCTAAAGGCCACTACTTATAAAACACAAAATAGTTTTCTAAGTATCTCCTGATAACTGTTTTTAAAGGTTAAGAAAATCTAAAATAAATAGGCCAACAAATAGCTATACCTTCACTCTTTGATTCTGCATATCACTTGTTGTATCAAACAACAAACTTTTACTATGTGTTTGTTTCCTTAAAAACACTGACCCCCCTGGTTAATTTGGTCTATGATGCTTTCTAAGGGTTCACATTGATCCTTAGATTATAAAGGTAAACGTGACCAATCACCAATGACCAGACAGGATGTATTCATTTAACAGATGAACAAAGTTTTTATGTTAAGTTGTTAAGATTTGTGTTATTAGCACCTGCATTACTGTTGAGGCAGTGTTTTGGTTTGGTTAAAAAATCCCTCTCTGGAAAACATAAAGAAAACGACTTTTTATCCAAAGCAGCAAATTTTGTCAATAAACTCTCCCCAATGATCTTTTCTAGAAATCTTAGGTTGTATTGGGTCGTTATCTTATCCGCTCCCAGGCCAGCAGAAAGATATAGTCTATGGACGTTCAGTTCACATCCGGAACAGTTTTATCCTCCTCAGCTGACTCCTCTGGATGTGGAGGAGAAGCAGCTCTACTCTCATCAATGACCCCTCACCCCCCCACCATGGACTGTTCTCCCTGCTGCCCTCTGGGAAGAGGCTTCACAGCATTCAATGCAGGACCAGCAGGTTCTGCAGCAGCTTCTTCCCCACCGCCATCACACTGATGAATGTTGAATAAAATTAAGTGGGGAAAAAAGTGCTGAATGTTGGAGAACTGTAATCATATCTCAGTCTTATGTTTATATCTGATCACCATGATTCCTTTTTATTACTGCTGCACTTTAAGAAATGGAAATGTCTTAAGAGCTGTGTTGAATGTGGAAGTTATGTCCCCTTGAAGGCAGTTGCGCCAACTGGGAGCAAGTTATTTACTACTCTTAACTCAAACTGGGTAAAACCATGTTAAAAGGACTATAAAAACAGGAGTTAAAAAGTAACAGAGTTTATTCCAGATCAAGTCGTTACAGGACAGAGGAAAATGCTTGGAGTTGGCACAGCTGTGGGCTCAAAAATCATGTCCTCATGCATCCGGCAAAGATTGAGCCCCGAACAAGGTCATCTCCTGCTTCTTATAGCTCATGAGTCTATGTGTTGGATCATGTGGATGTTTAGCTGTCCGTATCAGAAACTGACACGCCATCCATGCCCTGACTTTTATGCATCTTGCCTTTATGCCCAAGAATTACAGATAGCTTCCCTTTATCGGTCCGACTCCATGATGTGCCCATATCCTGTGTATCTTTAAAAGACGAGAAGGCTGTCCTATTTAGATGACTTCCTTACACACAGTGACATCCACAATGTGAAGGAAGGCCTTCTACTCTGTCTAATCTGGCTAACAGAATAACAATTCACATGATGTATAAAGAATAAACCTAAGAGCTGTACTGAACAAAATTTCTTTTTTCTATACTCTATGTTCACAAAATGACACTAAAGTATATCTACTGTAAGTCTAAGTCTGGTCCAACCTGAAGGGGACAAGCCACCTTGTCCTGTTCCAGAACCATGGCCTCGGACTTGTAGGACCTGATCTTTATCCTGTCTGCTTTGCACTCGGCCCCAGAACAAACTGTAGGTGTTTGCATGAGGAAGCCAGCAGAACAAAGACATGTAAGAAAGTCAGGGATGATACCATTTCTTAACGTCTTATCAACGTCTATTACTGGACTAAAGTAGAACCAAATCAGACCAACCAAAAACAGCCCAATTTTCAACTGGGATTTTTGGACTCATTCAAGGCTATGATGGACGGACCTGATTTAGCCTAAAAAAAAAAACGTGTCTTCATCATGTTTAGTTTTTGGGAGTATAGTTTAAAATATTAGTTACTCCTTCATCTTCTAATCAGCTTTCTTTTTCATCTGTGTTGTTTCCAGGTGGGTATGATGCATAGCCAATCAGAGGAGGAATATGCCCCCTGGGAGGCCACCCAAGCTCAAACTGAGTGCATTTCCATTCAAGGCAGAACTTCCGGACATGGCTGACTTGGTACTTTTGTTGGATTGTTACTGGTGAGCCAAGATGATGTATGAGACTCAAACTGTGCAGACAGGCAGCTACAAATTTGCCTGGCTATTGACTGGTGGAGTGTGTGTGTGTGTGTGTGTGTGTGTGTGTGTGTGTGTGTGTGTGTGTGTGTGTGTGTGTGTGTGTGTGTGTGTGTGTGTGTGTGTGTGTGTGTGTGTGTGTGTGGAGGGGGGGTGCAAAGAAAGTTTTGCACCCGTTTGTCGTGTTCAAGCTGCTGCTGTGAAAACACTCACTCCTCTGATCTATATGTCTATAAAAGAAACGCCTCTGATTCATCTGACCTTTAAAAACATGAAACGTTCTGAACTAAAGTAGCTTTATTTCTGCCACTCTGCATTTCTACCCTACATTAGTGTTACTTTGGCTTTAATAACGTTTAAACATTTTATTTACCTAATTTTATCTCCTGCTCATCTGATATTGGTCTCTTTTTTCCATTAAATCAGTAACACTCAATCTATTTTTCTGTCCTAATGAATGGTGCGCACCCTGGCCCCCCTCGTCTCTCTCACAACATGAGCTCTGAAACTTGTATTTGATCACTATTTGACCCTCCTCCCTATAACTCTGCTCTTCCCCAGGGGAGTGAAGGAACTGAAAGAGGAGGTAGACTGGAATGAATGAAGGATCTAGACCAACATGGGGGGAAAAAGGAGCTTTGGAATAAGCAAACAGCGCGACTCTGGGTTTTAAATTTTTACTCAGGACAGGTTGAGAGTTGGATTACCAGTGTTCAGAACGTCTGCATTCACGGGCTGAAGCACTGCATGAAGTAAGAGGTGAAGATGCGTGTTCACGGGTGGCTGCTTTGCGTTTTCTGCTTCCACTCCTGCATTGGGTTCTCACAGCGGTGTAGGTTCCACAATATTTGCCAAACGGAGAGAAGCGTGCTGGACGGGGGCTCAAAGGGCCGTGTCAAAGAGCATGTCCGTCACAGCGTGGGACACCAGGAGGCGCCTCACAGGAACAGGCCCCACCGCAGAAAAGGTAAGGCTGCGAGTCACATGGCTGCAGAGGAACGCATGAGGAGGAGAAGTAGCTGGAAGAAAACGACATTCAGTCATTTTAGTCCGGCTTAAATCTGGCCTCAGAGGTTCGACAACTGCTTTAGGTTATTGAAGGGATCAAATAACAAACCGAACAGACTAACAGAAGACATTAAGAAAGTTTCCTGATTAGATTATTCATTAGATTTATTAGATTAATATACAAATACTCTAAAAATATTTGTCCTTAATAGTTTTCTTGGTGTATTTCGTGTTTTTATTTTAATGACTTTTAGACTACGATGAAATGCAGTTTCAAGGATCGACCAATTCAATTCAATTCAGTTTATTTATATAGCGCCAAATTCACAACACATGTCATCTCAAGGCACTTTACAGTTCAACCAGATCATACAGTCAAATTGATACAAAGTTTTCTATCTAAGGAAAACCAGTTGATTGCATTGACTCATTGACTCAAATACAATCCCCCACACTAAGCATGCTTGTAGCGACAGTGGAGAGGAAAAACTCCCTTTTAACAGGAAGAAACCTCCAGCAGAACCAGGCTCAGTGTGAGCGGCCATCTGCTGAGGCCCACTGGGGTTCAAGGAGACAGAAGCAGAGATACAAAAAGCAGCTGTAAAAGGCGGCCCCGTCCAGGAAACACACAGCCAGGCAGACGAGCTCCAAGGCAGCTCCCATGCCAGAGGACGAAGAGAGCACATCCACTCAGTCACGGTCACAGAAACAGGACCACACTGGAAAACAGGCCGATCTCCAACATCTATTAACAAGGGTGTTGATAGAAGCAGCACAGCTGATGTTTTTTTCCAGGATGACGTCACAGCCAAACAGGAACAGACGAGGCAAAGCTACTCTGAGGAAAAGCAGAGAGAGCAGAAGGTTAGAGATTGAACTAACAGATTCTGCAGAATAGGAGAACAGAGAGAGAATGAAGCAGAATGATGAAATGGGGGTCCAGTGACTGGTCCAGGGACCAGTGATTGATAACCAGTACGGACCCAGTGGCACCGTTTGTCTGATTGTTGCCTTGGTAACTGGGGTTTGACTGGCTGATACGGGTCATTTGTTTTTTAAAGTGGTTTCTTTAGATCTCTTCATGATGCCTGTTCTTCTTTTAGATCTTGTCATCAGACAGATTCTCTTTACCTGCTTTTTATTATTCAACAGGTCAGGCAGAGATTTGATGCATATTTTACATTTTTACTGGGAAGTTTTCCTAAATATATGTTGGAGCAAAATAGATATCCTGGAAAATATTTCAGTGACTTTCATCATTTTTTCAATTTTTCCTGAATCAAGTTCACACTCAGCACGTTTAAGTTAATTTTTTTTAAATGGCCGATGCTAAGAGGCGATTGCAGAACTTTTTCAACTTAAAAAAACTTCTTTCTTCTTCTTTCCCCGTCTTTTGCCCGTCTCCTACACTCCCTCTGACCTCTGGGTCAACAGCTTAGAAAAGACGCCTTCCTTCAGCGGATCTCAGCAGCACAACATTCCCATGGGCTGTGTTTTAGCAGGCGGGATTCATGCCTCGTCCTTTCTAAAGCTTTTGTTGTGAAGTGAAAGCTGGCTGATGCCGCTGCCATCCAGCCTGCGCTCTTGGATCAATATAAACATCCATCACTTAGCCCCGGTCCTTTCTGAGCCTCACAATGAACGGCTCACCACACAATGCCATGTTTGTGAGAGCCATTCGGGGAATGAACTGGTGGAAGTTCACTTACTTCTGGCTCATCCTTGCTGTGGAAACCTGGAAGACTGTGAAGTGTTACATGTGTTTCACATGCGCATTATGTATTCACACTTTTTAATGATTTTTTTTGCCTTTTATGTGGTTGTATTTTAAGCCTACCCTGCACAGCATCCGAAGGACATGAAGTATGGTAGTGACAGTATCATGCTGTGAGTTTTTTTCAGCCTGAACTGTGAAGGTTAGTAGATAATAAGAGCTAAAAGCAGAGCAGTCCTTGAAGGGAACCAGTCAGAGTCTTGCATACAGTGGATTTCCCCCTTTTAGCACTGTTAGGATTGTTATTATTAATGATGTGTGGCCAGTGGCAGCTGGTGGAACTTTCTCCAGGGGGCGCTAGAACTTCTTAATAGACGTATATCAAAAAACAATCAAATGTATACTATCACACCAGTATATTTACATGAACAACAAAAACAACATTCTAAAATGTTCCGCTAAGTGCTTTAAAGGAAAAGTCTGCTCACATTCAGAATTCAAACTTCTGAAAGTCCTTTTAATCTGAAATGATTCCATCCTGTTCAATAAATGATCAGTGTTTTTAATTCAGAGTAATTTTCATGTGAATGTGCTTTATTGGAGGCATCCATGTTTGTCAAATAACACTACTGCCACCTACTGGTTTGTGACGTCACGGTGCGGTATCGGCTGTTGATCAAGTCCCAGTGCTGTATCTGGTGTTTGTCACAACGCGCTATTATCCAAGTCATCTTGAAAACATTCTTCTTCCAAACGCAGACATCCCAAGTCTCCCGGAAGTTTCCCTGATATAGATAGTTGTTCTCGGATGCCCACGAGTCGGATAAATTATCCTGGATTTTAGGCTCTGCTAGGTGGTGTTTTTAATGCGAGTGAGAGCGAGCAGGTAATAATTCATGCATCATGTGCGGATTAGAACTACTTCGATCGCGCAGACAATAAGAGAGAGCGGTGTGAGGAGGAGGTTGGTGGTGGAACCTGTGCAGCGTATCTGACCAAAGCGATGCTCTGATCAACCAGCGTTCCAGGAGACTGGTTGATCAGAGAGCTGATTGGATCAGTCCAATAAGTTTCTCTGGTTCCTCTCTGGCAGTCACCTAGTTAACACTCAAAGTGGTGCATCCTGTGAAACGGCAGAGGTTCAATCCTCGAGTAAAAAATGAAAATATAGGACTCATTTTACAGCAGAATATACTAAAGTATATCAACGTCTAGTGAAGGGGAGGAACAGTGGTGGATCTAGACCAAGTGGGCCAGGAGGGGGCCAGCGTGTTTTCATGGGGGCCCAGAAAAGCATAAAATAAATAAACAGGGCAAGAGATTCAAATATATTAATATAGCTGCATGAATGGACATTTATTTTCAATGAGGTTCAATAAAAGTTATATTTCTTATGAGGTCAATAAACATTTATAATTTAGGAATTTTACATATTTTTGACTTAATTTAAGTTAAAACTAAAGTTTTCTATAAAATTTTAATTAAAATTCAAGAAAAACTATTAAATTCATCTGTGAAATTTTTTTTTATTTTTTTTTTATTTCTTGTTAAAAAAAAACAATTAGCAGATGAAAACTGGGATCCTCTGTCAATCCCACTGAAGCTATCACTTTATTGTTTTTGAATAATTAGTAAAACAGAATTTGTAAAGAAAAAGAATGAAGTAGATCCAAAGGACCTATCAGTAACCATGTCTGTTCCAGCGCAGATCATCATTAGTCTAGAACCGGCCATGGTGAGGAACGACGACACAGTGGCGAGGTGCACTGTATGCTTCCATAAAAAACAGAAAGCACAACCGATGTTCAAGGCTACAAGATTGAAAGTATTAAAAATTGAAAATAAAAGACCAATACTGTTTTGTGTTTAAGAAATTACTGTTAGTTGCTAAAAAGTTGTTGAGAATTTGCTGGCCTTAAGTGTCTATGTACCCGGGGGGAGGTTAAGCATCTCCCTGAAATTAGTTTTTGGAACTTGGGATGTCTGCAAATTTTGGCTACATATTACGTGTTTTCGATGGCAAATCCTCCCTCTTCAAGTTGGCGATCCAACGACCAACCCGTCCGTGGAGGATCAGGAATCAGAAAGGTGAAATAACTCTTTTTTTTCCCTTTACCCGATGTATTCCAGCATCCAGCTGCCATGCACGTGGGCATTGTCAGTTTCACTATAGCTCTGGTGAATTTCAATGGTGAAGTCCTCTGGAAATCTTCAATAATTGTTGTTGATTGCAGATGTGTCTAGTAGTTCCCATTGATTTAGCTTGTAAAGCGGGGAGAATGGCGCTAGGCTTACCGCACCGTGACGTCACTGCTGGAAGATGGCAGGAGGGAGGGGCTACTATATTTGGGCAAAACGTCCCAGACTCAGTGACCACAACAAAAAAATATTGTTTTTATTTTTTTACTGATTAACACTAAATCATTAAATCACCAGGAACATATTAGTTTTAGGTATAGATATGAATTCATTAATTATTCCTTGCTGACCGGACTTTTCCTTTAAATCAGTCCTAGCTGTCTTTATCCATGCTGGCTCAGATCCTGACGTTTGAAAAAGGAGGCAGGGAAAGCAGAATAAAGCCTTAGCCTTGCTGCATGCAGTTAGCCTAGCCTTGTAGCTAAATAATAGTATAAACAAGTCAATCAGCGGCACTTTCTAACGTACAACTGTGACGTCAGCGCTGTGGAGGGAGGTGGTGTGCAGATAAAGCTGCTATCAGCTCTGGGTGCAGAGAGCTGCTCCCAGGATGCTCCTATTGAAGAGGAGTTACTGCGCAACTTTAAGCAGAGACTATGGAGGAAGAGTTATTGGACTAAATCACTAATCCGATGATGAATGAAACAACTTTACTCAGTAAATATTTATTTTGTACATCTATATTTATATATTTAAAAAATATATTTTATAATAAAATTTTTATTTTCCTTTTTTTATGTCTTAATCAAGGTTATTGGGTGACTAGGGGCCCTAGCGCCCTCTATTGACCAGCCACCACTGTGTGTGAATCTGTTAAACCCTACTAATACCTGCCTGTTGTATGTCATAGCTAATAATTCTCCCGAGTAGTTTATCTAATCAGGACAGTTTCTCTGTCCGGATAAAAAGTCGTCTTCATTATGTCTTTGGCAAAGATGTGGGAATGGAATGAGAGCGGTGTCCTAAGAACAAAGCCTAATATTTTGATAAGGCTGGAGCCATGGATGTCTCCTCATCTGCTAACGTCTATGATGTGATGAAGTGAT